TCAAAGCCTCCGCTCAGCCCCTGCCTGGCATGGACACTCAGCCCTGATGAGCTCGCTCTGCCCGTGGACCCGTGCAAGTCCTCCTGGGCCTCACAACCACCGCAGCCTCTGCAGGACCTGTGCCTCGCCCCCTCACCCTCCACAACCCCGCTCCAACGTCACCTCCTCTGGGAAGTCCACCTGCCCCACCCCAACGTTGCCAAGCACTGTAGAGGCCTGTGCCCTTGACGGTGCCCAGGGACAATGTCTGTCCCTCACTCCTGAACCATGGGGTGAGAGAAAGCCCTGCTTCCCAAATCCTCACCACCCACCCCTTTGGGGACACCTCACAGGGCACTACCCCATCCATGGGAGGACCTGTCTTGGGAAACGCCCAGGACTTGGCCAGCCTGGCTCAGCTGTGGTCTGCGGCTCACTGGTACCACCTCTCACTTCTCTCAGCCTCTGTTTTCTCATCTGTAAGATGGGCAGAACCACAACACCTGGCCCCATGCTCTGTGGAGAGCATGACTGGATGAAAAGCCTAGCAGGGCACCAGCCGGCGCCATCGAGGGTCCTCACTCCCTCTCTCCTCCTGAAACCAAAGACCGCAAAACAAAGGAAGAGCCAAAAGACAAGCCAGTGCCCAAAGGGTGCCCTGACCCCTGGGCGGGGGTTATTAGAGGACACTGGGATTCCGGCAGACCCCGCCCTCACCCTGCCCACCCCAGTACTCACACTGTGGTTGTCAGGCCCTGGGTCCCCTGCTGCCCTCCTGCCATAGCGTGCAAGGCTGCTGAGGCCGCCTGGTGCCCAGACGGGCAGCGGCTGGGGAACTTGGCCACCTCTGGCAGCCGTCCCTGATCAACTCCGCTGAAAACCACGTGCCGACCCTTCGGCCAGCGGTCAGCCCAGGCCCGGGTGCAAAGCAAATGCGGCACAGCGGCCAGAAGGGCAGAGCCTGGGCAGTGGCTCGGCTCCGTCCTCGCCAGACGGGCTGGGGAGCTGCGGGCTACGCATCTTGTTTTGTACTTTTCAGTTTTGTTGGGATGTTTCCTACAAGCATGGATTCTTTTTGTAGTATTGCAAAAAAATCAAAGGTCATTTAAAATTACTTTTCAGATCAACAACTGCTGTGTGCACAACCTTATGACATGTAGATCATCACATTCTCTTGACTTATTGGAGATCTGGCATAGCACGTATAATTAACACACATATAAAATACATGCATATTTAATGAATATGCGTGTTCATAAAGGGAATGGTGCAGTTTTAAGCCTGAAAATAAAA